TTGTAAGTTTTTCTGCGTAGCAGGAGACAGGATCATCTCAACAGAAGAGGCTATATGCCACCACAGCTGTGCATCTCTGACTTATTTGCTTTAGGTTGTCCTCCCCCATGAACAGCCAACCACTGCCAACAAAGCGCTGCCTACAGTTCTAGCCTTCCTAGGCAGTGGTGGCAGCAGCAGCCGCTTGAAATTGGGTTTTCTGACATTCCCTGTCACTGGCAGTACTCTAAACAGGGTGCTGGTGATACTGATGAAGTTCTGAGTCACAGTGGAGACATCAGAGATGTCTGTGGACTGAGTTGTTTAAGGACACACTGGGTCATTTCATCCGTATTTAGGGAGGTATTTACACAGAGTTTCAGACTAGATGTTCACAGTCATATTATCAAGAAAGCTGCACTCTGAGCTGAATACCTTAATGAAATGTATAGATTATCTTAAGTTTTGGGGGGGTTAGCAGTCCTGAGGACACTGCCGAAGAAAGACGTGAGCGTAGGCACAGATCAGCTGCATCAGTTCAGTGGGGATGAGAAACCAAAAGGATGACTAAGGAGTGTGTGAAACTGCAGATCTTGGGTTATTTTTAAAAACAGTAAATGTAATTTCCTAGTTCATAGTGTGGGCTCTACGGAAATTATTTGCAATATATTTCTTTACACTCACCTTCCACTAAGGGAAAATTTTTGTTATTCCCCAGTACTGAGAATAGTTATCAAACAGCATGGAAAACAAGATAGCACTGATTAAAGAACTGTATTTCTTTGAAAAAGTGTGATAGAGTACGTGGCACATAGAGGCAAAGTTTGGTGATGATTGGTACCAGACTTTATTTTTAAAGTATATCATTTACTGTAGGTTAAAGAAGAGCAGTTTTCAGCTTGAGTTTAAAATTATGCAGTTTCTGGTAATATTTAGTTCCTATTTCATAAGGACTAGCCTATGAGACAGCAGTTTGACAAAGGGCATAACAGAGGCACAGTTTATAGAACAAATAATCACAAATAGAGGAACAAAAAACTCGATGTTACTACTGGATCCTGAAAACCACCAAGTCTGAAGGCATAGCAAAAACTAAGAGGGAATTTCGGCAGAAGAAAGGCCTATTTTTGTAGCAGATCTTAATGCAGTGATCTGCTTGCACAAAAGAGGTAAATTCTCCGATTTGGAGAAGCCGTGAGATGCACGAAGATACCCTATAAGGTGAGCGTAGTTAAAGAGGCATTACAAAATGGCAGTAATGAAGTTGTTGGGGTATTCTCACAGGTTCAGTGCTTTGGCTAAGAGGTCTCATGCCCATAACAGAATAGCAGTCAGAGAACGTGTGCCCAAGACAGCAGGGAAAGCCGAGGGGCGCTGACTGAAGTATCCTGGTGCCAAAAGAAGCTGAAAATTTTTAAGTCTGTTGCAGTCTGAGAACTGAATGCAGGAAGCAGATGTTGAGGCTTGGGGAAGCTCTAGCAGAGGCGCAGGTGACAACTGTCAAGTATAAAATATTACACACACAATGTTCCACCTCACCTTGAGAAGAACCCTGCAGTAAACTACATCTTCTTTATATTAGAATTGGGTTGGAAGTAAGTACTACTGTGAGGCAGTGGTATTACCCAACTGAGTTCACTGTGATTACTTTTTAAACACTGAAGGATGTGCAATAATAATTAGCATACCATTAAGCTACTCTATAACAATAAATAATTGCCACCAGGTCTTTGTTTTGATAGTGTTTTTAGTAATACAATGATTTATAAAGCCTATTTTTTAAGGTAACTAGCTCAATCTGAGATATATGCTTTACACTTTTTGCTTATGTAAGCTCTACAGTAACATCAGTGTTCAATTTCACAATTACCCAATTTTTGAAGGAAAATGGTGAAATACTGTGATATTTCAAGCTTACAAAGAGCAGCTTTTTATATCATAAAGAAAATGGTTGTTGGCTCTCCACTGCAACATATAAAATGCTGTCATGCCAAGGTAGTTGCAAAGCGTCTTGATATTTTGGGAAGAGACAGATTCTACAAACTCGAGTGGCTTGCAAGGAAGCTCTGACACAGTAACTCAAGTGTATCTTTAGCAGAACGTCAGTATAAAGGGTATAGTTTTAAATCTACTATGCTATTAAACAAAAAGGGCCAATCTGTCCTTGGCATACCTCTCTTGGCAACGTGGGCGCTAAACCAGGGAGTAATTTCCCTTATTGTATTTAACAGCATGCTTCAGATTTATAAGCCATCAGTTGGAAGATAATTGTGGTATGTCTTTCTTAGGCTGAGGGATTAACTCAATTTAATCTCAGTGTGGTTAAAAAAGGCAGTTAGCTACCTGCTTTAAATATGAATTAAATCTATAAAACATAATGACTTCATTGAGAGGAGGACTGGCCCAATGGCACATGCTCAAAAAACAGACTATTGACTTCATTGAATTCAGTGGAGACTTGAACTGAATGAAGACATGATCAAGCCCCTAATGGTTGTTTCTGTAAGTGGTTCACATTTGAAATTCACTTGCAAGTTTTGTATCTCTTTAAAGATCATGAGAGAGAAGGTTAAACTGCATCCAACTTCTGTTCTTTCTGTGTAATAGCAACACCTGGCTTTAGAGTAACTTCATAAAACAGAGATGGGAAGAGACTGAAGAATAATGTCTGAGCACTTATCTGTTTGCTATCACCAGTAGCTGTAATTACAAAATCCAGTTTTGCATATTAGATACTAGACAAAAGCCAGCAATGGAGCTGGAGCTGTTTGAGAAATTCTTGCTTTCACAGCTGGCAGTTATCATCCCTTCAGCTGGTAACCCATATGTTCTCCATCCTAATTCACTGCTGAGCAAAGTAGAATCAGTTGGCTGAATTCATGGACAACATACTTAGCTGTTATAACCTGATGGTCTCATGAAGGCCTCCTGGTGTTTTACCACTGAATTTGGAAGTATTTGAAGAATTACAGGAAAAGCAAGGATCTATACAGTGCTTAGTTCAGGCTGTCCTTCAGTTTGGGTAACACTTAAGTCCTGCTAGGGTCTCAGACACTAAATGCCATTCAACAGACTCTAGCAAAAAGACTTATCTTTCTGGGGGAAACAAAACAAAACAAAACAAAACCCCAAGCTTAAAGGCAGATGAAACATCTTTTTAATAAGTTTTTAAGATAATTTGCATTGGTAAATTGTAAAGGAGTTTGTGGTCTCTCTTAGCAGATCCTTTAGTTGATAGTAAGGAGTATATAGCCAGAATTGTATGTCGCACTGTAGAGGATTGGAAAAAGAGGAACAGAAGGGTTAAAACTAATGGTGAGAAAAGGCAGAAGGGATATTTTGGCCCCCTTCAGGCACTGGTGGGGGAGGGGAGAGGAAGTGAGATCTTCTGTGGTTGGGAGCATGCCTTTTGTGTTGTTCTTTACAAGACTGCTATCCATTAAGGGTTCAGTGAAGATACCACTCTTTTTCCCTCTCTCTGCCATATCTCCAAGAGCTGCAAAGGGAAAAAAATATGTTATTGGCCTTGTGTGTTTCGTGTTTCACAGCCTGTGGCCTATGCAACCTCAGTCCCAGCCCCAGCAGGACATGCTGGCCACTGTAGGTGGCCAACTGTCCCACCATGCCAGCACTTGCCCTGCGCATGGGACCCCAGACAGGGCAAGGAGCCTCCTCCCCCATTAAGGCCTTGGGGCACAGATCTCACAGACTGACCATGAAGGATTTCCTGTGCACCTCTTTCCTCCAGGGAACATTTGACCTTGTGCTTTCTTGCCTGACAGGACTTGCTGCCTGCGGTGTGGTACAGCTGAGGGGCAGTGGGGTGAGGAGTGGCGGCTGAGCAGTGAGCAGCCAGCACCAGATCCTGACAGGGCTTTTCCCCTGTAGGGTTAAAAGCCTCTCTCCTGTCAGCCCTGGCCATGACATCCCTTAGCACCTCTGTCCTCCCCTTGATCCTTTAGAGAGCACGTGACCAGCCCAACTGCTTGCCCTTGCCCACCCATCACCTGCCACATCTCACCTATAGCCATCCTTTCAGCCATCCACTCCATGCTCCTAGCTGGCCCTATAGCCATCAGACCTTCATCCCCTAGTCACCTCCTTCATCTCATGAGCTAGCCATCCTTTCAGCCGTCCCCTCCATGGCCCATCCCCTAGCCAGTCTTGCTCCTGATCTCCCCGTCCCTCTCCCAAACCTCTGCCTCCGCTTCACCTTTCCAGTCCTGTCTTAAAGATTGCTGCATGCCATGCAGATTTTTTGGCTACTGGTGGAGAAGGTCTAGCTAGTGCAGGAGGGTCTGCATAGGGGCTAGCTAGATGCTACAGGAACTGGAAATCTTGCTTTCAGGTAGGTGGCTTGCACCTGTCTGTGTTATCTCACTATCACTAAATAGAAGAATATCTAGAACTATCACTCCTTTTCCTTCAGTCCCTTTAGAGTGTAATCAGTGGCAGAACCCTTAAGACTGACACAGCAGGTAATTCAAAATGCTGTGATTATATATTTATGTAGGTGGGCATTCCTTATCAGTACCTTCCTTTAATCAAGGATGAGTGCTTGGACAAAATGATTCTTTCCCTCTCTTCCGCTCTGCCTAGTCTGACTTCTCTGAGAAAAGGGGGAAAAAAAGCAAATCTAGTGGTGTAGATGCTTTTAGTAGAGATTCCATGATCCGATGGAGTTATCTTATAAATAATATACTGTTATTTAGCTTTAAATGAAAGACTTGTGATGTTGTCCATGGATTCTTGTGAAATGTATAAGGCTAATATGAGATGTTATCACTCCTAGTAAAGCCTCAAAATACTTTTGCACAAAATAATGCAACTGAAGTAAAACAATCTAGAAGGATGAAAAGTACGCTAAGAAACTACAAAAAAAATCTTGCTGATATACGTGCTGATGATGAAGTCTGAATGATTGTTAACCATAATCTGTCCCTAAAAGAATTAACTGAACATTTATCAATCTTTCTACAACATACATTGAATTTGACTTTCTTGGTTTTTATTCCATCTAGGGTTGTCAGAATGAGTGTGTGGCTGGAGGATGTGCAGGGGAAGCCACAAAGCATGTGACTGAATCTTTCAAGGTAAGTTGTTTGCTAAAAAGTGAGTGTCTGGAGCATTTCATTGGACAGTGCCAGACATCATCCGTAGTGTGGTAGTGATTGTTGTGCAAGAGTTCATAGCTGCTGATGCGCTTGAACATCACAATTCTGTAAGCAGGAGTTGCATTTTCTGAAAATATTTTCAATATGTATTAACCCTTGTAGAAATTAAAAATGTTTCAAGAAGAACTTTTAATTTATTATTGTTTCCGGTACTAGCTAAAAGCTTAGTAGTCATTAAGCAAAAATTAACATGGTATACCTGAATGTTTCTTAACTCTTACCTGATTTAAAAACAATATAACTCTAGATTGATTACCCAATAAGTTCTCCAGACAAACACTATGTAACATTCCATATTTACACTTTTTTATTTGTTAAACGTTGGCATTAGGCATCGTTCAAAAATAGGTTTTCCATCTGGTTTCAGAGTTGCAGAGTTAAGGATCTCAGAAGGACTCCAAAGCACACCACAACTCTGGCACGTTCTCAGCACTCAACCAATAGGGGCCAACAGGGCCATGATAATAACAAGCGTTGAGGAGCGGCCAGGAGCCAACATTAAATTGAGTCCCTCTTTTTTTCTTTAATGGTATGCTTAGAATTGAGTTCAGTTAAGATCTCGCTCTTCCTTCCACCACAAATGTAGTGCTAGTAACTAAGAGATGATAGATCTCGCTCTTCCTTCCACCACAAATGCTAGTACTTCCACCGCAAATACTAGTGCTAGTAACTAAGAGATGATTTTTTTAACAGTGTGTGGACACAGATGTTAACTTTTAATTTTCTGTTGGAAACTCAGAGCCCATTAACATGTGCTGCTTTTAACTTCTACTGTCTGTCTTCATTGCTGTTGATTCTTTGCCTCTCTTTTTTATTTCTCTTGTCTTTGTTATGCATCTGTAATTCTCTTTCTCCCTTTCCCTGCTTTAAAAATAATCTTTAAAATGCCTCATCTATCTTTTGCAGACGTTTAAAAATATTACCCAGAAAAGTTGACCTCACTTGTGCTTTTTCAGCAGTTCCTTTCCTGTTATTGCTGACTATTGTCAGCAGTACGTGAGATGAAATTGTAGTGATACCCTTTGTAATCGTCATGTTCTTCCTGATTCTTTGGGCAGTGTCCAGTCCAGTGCAGTCTTCTGAATTATGCTTAAGTAGTTATTTCCCTTTTAGCTGCTCAGGCTTTAACCAGATATATAAAGTAAACGCTGCAGAAAATGTGTTGGTCTCCTTGATAAGATTTATGCTGGTCTCACTGAAATGCTGGTCTCACTGAAAACAGCAAAGAATTCTTGTGAGAGTCCATAACTGCAGGATTTGGTCATGTAGCAACATGCCATTTAATTTCTTTTTCACTATTCTCAGCCCTTCCCGATCCTGCTCTTCTTTGTTTCGTTGCATTGAGCATCTCTGGCAATTCTGTCCGAGAAAGATGATTTAGGATGACTTTTCAGCCGGAAGGTCTGCTTTGGAAAATGTTGACATAAACATGTAGCCAGTTATGAAACTCCAGGATCTGACACGTATGGAGTGCAGAATTGTTTTGTAAATCTGCCTTTAATAAATAGACAAGATAGATCTCAATAAATTATTTCAGTAGAGTTTGCTAGGGTGAGTATTTGAAAGCAAAAACAATTTCTTCTGAGGAAGGAGGCTCTCTCACTTGTGTAACTGCCCTGTACTGTTTCCTCCTGCTTGTTGGCACAGTTCAGAGGGAGGATAGACAGATTGGCAATGTACTCTGATAGTGTTTGGGTCATAGGTGAACTGGCCATAAATCAGAGCAACCTTAAGGCAGCTTTAAATTATACTGGCTGTCAAGCAGGACCCTTACCAAAATTCCAAATATTGGGTGGCTTTGAGCCAGTTTCCTTTCCTTCTATTCTTGTAAGTCAGCCAGAACGGCAAACCATGAGTGGAGAGTCTGTGTGAGGGGAAAATATATTAGCAGGTGGGACAGCTGGTCATCAAGGGAATAATGTTAGAAAAAAACAGCTGTGTCAAACTGACTAATTTCTAAGTACATTCCTGCAGTATGGGTCTATTTCTGGAGATTAAGTGCAGTCACCAGAAAGGGGTACAGTTTCTAGAAAATATTGTACTGTGGTGTGTGCGTGTGAAAGTTATGATGGGGAGATGTGTATTGTTTGCCACATCATGCAATATAATAATTAATTGCAGTTTCTGTACCTTCATTTCCAAATTAAAAAAAATAAACTGTATAAATGAAGGAAAAATGACACCAGGCAATGACAAATAAAATAAAGCTGGATTCATTCAAGGGCACTTCACAACCACCTCTATGGAAATAAGTTATGGCTGCAACTACAGAAGCGATCGGTAATGATATTTCAAAGGAATCAAGTTGAACCATTTGGCTGACTGTGCTAAAGAAAGTTGCTCTTTATGTGCAGGTAACCTAAGTAGTCCAAGACTGTGGGAATGGAAATACAGAAAATGGAGTATGGTTTATTTCTATGCTTATATAAAACATAATTTTTAAAGTGGAGGATGCCAATATTTGAATACCATACTTTATGATTGAAGACATTTCTTTTTAGAATGCAGTGCTATGCTTTTTACGTGGAATCTATGAATTTCACTGCAATTTCTATCTAACAGGGGATCTGAAGAGTTTTTCCCCTATACACTGGGAAGGAAGGAATGCTCCTTATAAGTACTAGGAAGTAGTGAGTCTCTCTGCTAGCTGTTTACCGTTTTTAATTCTCATGAACTTCTCTCAAGTCAATAGGTCCGAATCAGGACTTCATTCATATGAGATGCTACTGAAACACTTTTAAGTTTGACTCACTTCCCTAGTTAGAAAGCTGATCCTGGCTGCTCTGTGATTTACAAGATAACTAATGTATTACATTTAGACTTAACGCACCGCCAGTAATCTTGGAACAGATGAGGAACATCAGAAGGAGCAGTGAATATGCTTAGGTTTCCCATATTGTAGAAAATGTCAGATCTGCAGGATTTACTTACCCAGATCCTTCCACTGGAGTGAAATCTTTTTTTTTTTTCCTCCTAACTATTGTTTATGTATATGTTTTTTAAAGAACTGGCTGTGGCTTGTGACCATAACCTAAGAAGTTAGGTTTGTAGTTTTTGTGCATTATGAGCATTGGATTTCTAGAAAAGGCATATAAAACCGATAATTGAAACTGCAGCCATCCTCTGTATGACTGAGTGTATTTCAGAATGTTGAATCAGAGAATGCACATACTTGGTTTTGCTGCTGTATATGCATTTTCACATATAGTAGTATCCTGAAATAACATATAGTTATGACTAAGGCACTTAATCCTTAATCTATGTGATTTAACAAATGTGATAAACTCTTTAATGTATCCATTCTTCTCATTCTACTGTCACAAGACGGAATGAATATTGTTTGGGTAACTTTATGACGTATTTCTGTATTTTATCATAATTTGATTTCTTTTAATATGTGCATTAGCTCTGACTTTGAGTTCGTAATGCTTGGCCTTAAGAAATTAAAGGCATCTATGAGTGCCCTTTCATCCTCATGTTATCAATCTATATGCAGAAACATGATTTTAGTTTCTGTGTCACTTTTTGTCATGGAATGCATTTTATCTTCAATGAGAGACTAATACATGAAGATGCTTAAAGAAGGTACTATCTATGTCTATTCTGTTTCCCTATGTTTTGATGATTTGAAGCTTTATAGAATTAGTTAGTCATCTTAATCGTGCAAAGTGCAGTTATTTTGTTTTAATTTTTAAGGGCATATTTACCTCTACAAGTGCCAAAATTGTGCAGACCTTCTAGGGAATACTGGCTAGTTTGCTATGCCAAAACGGAATAAAATAGCTATAGTTTACAAGTTAACTGGATTGACTTGCTAATATGAAGAGTTGTCATAGTGGAATGAAAAACATGTAAGCGGAGTTCCTACACCTGAATGGCTCCTCATGTTACACTAAATAACTGTGATTATTTCTGAACAGTCTTCTGCAGACAGACCCAACCTTCCTGGGCTCCAAGCCAGTGGGATGTGAGCCCATGGCAGACTGGAAGCTACATAGGCAGGTTAGTGCAGTGCTGTGCTCGAACTAATAATCCCTGTTGAGATCTTGGACTTGCTAGACTGAATATAAACTATGCTAATATGTTTGCATGGCTTCCAGTTTGAAACTGGCTCATGTCTAGTTGTGTGAGGCAGTGGGTAGAGTGAGATTTCTATGATGCTGTATGCCTCGGTATTTGTTTCGTGCATTGCCATAATGTTTTAGAGCATTATGTGAACTAAGCTGTGAACTATCTGCCATTCTGCTAGGGACTGCACATACTAGAACAAAAAGATTGTTTCTGCACTGCAGGTACAACCTACAAATAAACAGCCAAAATCTATTCACAGAGATCTATAGCTGTAATATTTTTCTCCTTTGGGGAAGTATGAAGAAACAAAAAATGTATTTCCAAGGCAGGTGTTTGTGGTTCAAACTGAGAGATTGGCAATAAAAATTTTAAGGATGTTGATTTTGTTCTTACAGGTCCTATCATACAGATGTTGCTCTTCCCTACAATAGGACCTTTCGCTGCGTGTTTTAAAACATACAGCCTTGGCATCAAGTGACTGTGAACTTGTTGGCTTTGCGCAAAACACAGTGTACTGGTTCTGTTTCTCTGCCTTATTTCACTTTCCTTGCAAATAATATAATAGCATTAAAGGTACAGAATAGGTCTGTATCTTGCCTGGAAACATGTTAAAATTTATAAGTAAGGTGCACAGTGGTTTTTGTTAAGATTTTGTACAGGAGTAATCTATGCAGTTAAGAGGTAGGTTAGCTCTCACTGCATTATTCAGATTTTTTTGTTATTGTTTGTACACATTAGAAACAGGTGAATGATTCTGATTTTCTATAGAGAAAAGTATCCCTATTTTCAAAACAGTCTTTCAGTGGAAAATCCAATGAATTATTGCATTTTCCATGTTTACATTAATGAAATGAGTTTACATAATGGGTTTAGATATTTTCATATCTCTTCCCCTCTACCTCTTTCTCAATTTGTTATTTTGTACTGACATAAATAATTTATTTACCTTGCAAAGCGTGCAGGCACTCAGTAAGGGAGTTTGTAGCTGTTGATTCTGCTGCAACTTCTGAGGAGAATGCCCTGGTTTTATGTTAATTTCTTATTTCCATTTTATCATTCTATATTAGACCACATTTTAAATTTTGATTAATCAGAAAGAACATTTCCTTTATCAGAAAAGTTGTATGAGAAAAAAATTAGCAAAATGCTTTATAATGATTTCTCAGTCTCTTGACGTTGTGAAATGAGCAATAGCTCCCAAAAATGTGTATATAGGAAAGCTGCTTTTATAAACTGTCTTGAAGCAGTAGGAGGCACTCCAATTAGAGCTATATATTATGGAACCCAATAAGGCATTTCGAGAAATTGTGTGTCCTGGAATCACAGCTCATGTAGTCTAGGCTCCCATTGAATGTGGGACTGTTACCAGCACTAGATCAGGTTAGCTGTGGCTTTGACTACTATGTGCAGTGCTGCGCTGCTCTCCTAATGAAAATATTTTTTCCAAAGCCCAATTTGAACTTTCCGAGCAAAAACTGTGGCACTTGCCACATCTCAGGTCATCTGGATATCATTTCCATGGAAGTGCATAGCTTTAGCTACTGTTAGATCAGGATGCCAAGCTAGAGGCCAGTTCTGTTGTTATTACAACAGTATTTAGCATTTGTCTATCTTACTCCATTTGAGGATCAGCCATTGCTTTCAAAGTGGTCATTCTGGTTTTATCTTAATTTCACCTGAAGCTACTAATTTAGCTTTTTGTTAATGGCAATTAAATGATTTGCCTACTGTTATGCATCCAATCGAAAAGAGATTGGAAGTAATTGTATTATTAGATCACAATGCCTTCGTATCACTTGATATGCCTCCTACTAGGCTACGTATATGCTGCAGAATTACTTCAGGTGATTTACAATCGAATATATTCCCTCAGCTTCATTTTCCAGGAAGGAAACCAGCTACAACAAACAAGATTGAGTGTCAAGTGGTTTCTGTGGTATTCTGCATCCGTACCAGCATTGCACACAGTCATTTGAATGCTACTAGTAATGGCAGGAATTCATCCTGTGGTTGCAGCTCTATTAATTGCACTCTTCTACAAGCTGTGTTTCCAGCATATTACAAGAATCCTATGTTATAAAGGTATAAATCCAGAAACTTATTAAAGAACGCTAATACAAGCTGGGCAAGATTGACTTATGCACCTGCTGCTTTCCTTCCAGCTATCAGAAAAGTGCGGGTCTAGGTTAGAGTAATGATCAACACCCAGTATGCTTGCAGTAGAGATCCCTATTTTGACAAGAGGGAGAAGGAAACAAAGCCCAAGGTGTGATAATGAATGTTTCAGCGGTTGTTGGCTGTTAGGAGAAAGTGGCTTTCCTGAAAGAGACCATGCAAATTGCATGCACAGGTAGAGCACTAATGCAGCTCAGTATTGCTGAGTATGACTCCCTCTGGCAGATGGTGCTTCTGAATCTAGTCTATTACTACAGAGTAGTGGTAGTGAAGTAGCATCATTGCTTCTTCCTTCAGGACTGTAGTAGCCCAGAAATGCTCCTGAGCAAGGACATGTTCTTGGAGCTGTGAAAATAATTCACCATGATTCTTCCATGCTTGGCTAAGGGATTATTTCCCGATAGACTACAAGCGGTTTCTCATGCCCTTGGGAACCCAACTATCTTGTGGCATTTGAGATCTGGGGTGATTCTGTTCAGTGTAAACCCCATGGCAAGAAGTAGTTCTAGCTGTGTTTCTTTTCAGAAAAGTAATGTCCCTCAAATAATTGCAAGGTTTTAGCTGTAGTAGAGAAACTGATTGTCCCATTATCTGAAGTTGTTGGTTTTGCAAATAAAACTAATTGTCTTCAACAAGCAACAGGAGCTCTTAGCCAAGATAAAAGCAAGATGCTGGAAGAGCAGCCAGGGAACAGTTTTGTTGAGTTAATTTATAGCACAAGGAAAGTGATGCTTTATCTTCTTTTTAATTGGGAGCTTAACATAAGGTATCTGTAAAAGCACAGAGGTAGTACTACAGTTTTGGAAATTACATTTGGTTCGTATCTTTTTCTGGTTTTATTTTTTCTGAAAGTGAAGAGTTGCTTTAAAAATGTAAGTCTTTACCACCAGCGTGTGATCCACAAAGGGTCTGACCCCTCAAACTTATAAAATCCATGTTGTCCATGCCTATTTTCAACAATTCTTAGTTTTTCCCAAATGGCACTGTGATATTGAGTCCTCAGATTTGATATGAAATTGATTCTTTGATCAACGTATAGAAATAAGAACTACAATTGAGGCAGAGAATTTAGTTTTTTTTCCATAAGATTCTATTGGACTTTCTGCCTGCTTCTGAAATTATCCATATATCCATAGGAACTAATAGCCTAGGGAGCTCGAAAAGTTTTATCTTAATCGCACACTTATTACCTGTTTCCAGGAAAATATTGAGTATGCTCAGTCGACAAAATATGGCAAATCAAGCGGTAAAATTCATTAGCAACTTGTAAAGCTTAACTTTTGTCTACCAGTGTGAGAGAGAGGGATGGAAGAAGGGAAAAGGCAGGTGTGGTCAACCGAATGTTTGCAATTATTCCTTAAATATATGTGTAGGAGGCTGTATCGTGAAAGTTTTAGCATTTTATATTCCCCAAATACTTTGTTGACATTCCGTAGGAAATAATAAATTCAGGGTGCCATCATTCCGTAAATCCACTTCTCCGCATGTCTGCAAGCTTATTAAAATCAGGGTAAGAAGATTTAATTGTAACTGCGTAAGACTCGGACACGTGAGATTATGATTCTATTCTTGGCTATTCCACATTATGTGTTTGTTACTGGACAGGCTACTTAGGCCAAATATTTCCTACTGGTTTGTCTGAAATTTAGGTTTTCAGTTCATTTCTTCCATCAATATGGCTATTTTTCTAAAAAGTGTAGATGCAAGTATCAGTTTTTCATGTTGCAGTTTCTTTATGTGAAATAAAAATGCTAGTGTTTCCTGAACCCTAAGACAGTAGTATTAAATCTTTGTGACAGATTTTTAAAGTTTTGTGTTTATAAAGCATTATTTGAAGATCTAAAATACTGTGCCTCTGTACAAAAATGTAGTATCAGTGAGATGTCATTGGTCTTTCTATTCCAGTTTTGTGTCACAGGCCAATGTGAGCCCTCAGCTTGTGTTAGACTCAAACCTTCTTCTAGGCAAACTCTTTCTAAAAATGGACTGTTTTATTTGTGCTGCAGTGCGGAAATACAGTGGTTGTGAGGCAAAGAACAGCACAGCATTAGAAACTGTGTTAACCAAGTTGTCGGATCTTTTGAGAAGAAACAGCAGATATTAATAATGAATAATATGAGTAGTGTAATTAATTCATGTGTCCCATTAATGAAGAGGGGCCATAGTCTTGTATTTATGGAAATATTTGAATATAAGTCTATGAGAAGATTTTCTGTATGAGGAACTGGGCTATTTCACAATTGCAGTTTGTGATTTCTCTTGTTATTCTATATGGAATTGCTTCTTCTAATCAAAAGCCAGATATATCTAAGTCGCAGTTAGGAAGTACAATTGCATGGCCAAAGCAGATTTTTATATAGCTGACTTGACCAGCAGCAACAGTGAGCTTCAGCAACATGAATTTCAAAGCGGTGCAATAACTGCATTACAGCTTGCTCATATTTGTTCTCCATTCACGCTTTCTGATTGTGATTGTGATAGAGACCGCTATTGACCTGTTCAATTAAGTGACGTAGCTGTTAGCAAACAGAATTAGTTAATATGATGAAAATGTAATAATGCGTATGACTGTGCAGTTTCTGGCACTATGTTTAGTTGTTTTATCAACATCTGGGTGGTTTATACTTTAAGGAACTAGCCATACTTGAAATGGTTTATGTAATTCTTTGATAAATAAGATACGAGATTACTGTATTTGTAGTAGATCTGAAAATCCTATTGGCTGGAGCAGAGGAGACTAGCTCTGTAAAAATCAAA